ATCTTATATACAAAAATTATACCAATTTATATATTTTCCTGTTATTAAACGTAAATAGTTTTTAACGCGGACTAAAAGTGAAAAGCCCATAATCTTTGAGGAGGGGAAGGGTCAATCTTCGATATATAAGTTTTGAAGGTTGGATCCTAGCACAGAAATTTAAGAAAAAAACGTAGTTACACCTATTGTTTATACAAAATCACATGAATTTATTATGATTAAGTAAAAGATTAGGTAAGAATCCATGTTAATTAGCTAGCTAAATAATAAAACTGTACATAGAAGATGCATGTTATTTATTTATTTATTATTTTGATGTACAAATTATCTACCTCACATAAGGTAAGGTTAAGGTCTGTGTACACTCTACCTGTAAGATCACACTAAATATATTACTATTGTTATTATATAAACAGATCGCGTGTGGTTAATTTTTTCTTAACCTACCACTTCCTGGATTTTTATAATCCTAAAAAGAAGAACATCATTATCATTTAGAGGGTTAACTAAAGTTTGTTTGTCTAAAATATTTTAAATTTAAAATATTTTCATTGATACTACTAATAGTTTGTGACAAAGTGTACTATTATGTGATTTTTACGTATGTATATTACTTCAAAATTTTATGCGTCAACACTTAGCACTCTAAAATTTGTCATTCTCTTCGAACAAACGAGGTGATCAAACATGACATAGCACATCTTCAGCTTATCGGGTACATGACACTTAATATGAAGGTGTGTAAGTCGAAAATTAGGGTTGTTGGTTAGTTAGTAGCGAGCGTCTTTCCTTTCCATACTTGTATTTCCTTCCATAGCGGTAGTACTAGTGTTATCCTCGTGTTCCTTTTCTTTTGGATCGATATTGTTATTTGATGTTTTCTTTGCTTTCCATAGTTCTTTTGTTATAATTGTTATGATTTTGCTATATTGAGCCGATGGTTTTCCGGAAATAATCTGTTACCTTCACAAAGTAAGGGTAAAGTCTGCATACATACTATCTTCTCCAAACTCTACTTGTGAAAATATTTTAGGATGTTATTGTTGTTGTTTGTTTGAACAAAACAAAAAGTAACTTCAAACCATATTCTAAATTTTTTTTTCCAAAACAAACTGATAAAAGTGTCCATATATAAAAGTGCAAAGGATAAAAATGATGACATGATAACTTTTGTTTGCCTTCTTGACATCAAATCACTATATTTTTTTGTCGTGAATTTGTTGGGCTGGCAGTTTTAAGACAAGTTTTGGTGTAGTTCTATCTAAACCATAAAGTAGGTTGAAATCTACTTCTTCTTGTTGCTTTTTTCACAAACTCACAAAGGCTCTTCTTCTTTTTCTTGTGTTCTTGTTAACACTGGAATTTGTTCTTGTGATGAAGGAAAAGAAGAAATACAAAGATACATCAAACATTAACCTTAGTGACTAATAACATATTTTGCCAAACTTCTAAAATCAGCTTATTTCGTAAAATGCTTTTGAGCAATAATTTTAGTGAGAGTTAGTTTTGAATAATAATTAGTGCTTGACCAAACTTCTAAATAAACTTATTTCGTAAAGTGCTTTTGAGCACTGAATGGAAAACCAAATAAAATATCTTTTGATGGGTAAAATATATAAAAAAGAAAGTAAATAAAACCGAAGAATTAAAAATCAAGGTAAATACAAAAGAAAGCACATTTTGCAATCATTCTTTTAGTCCCTCCATTTTAAATTATCTCCACTTTCGTCACTTTCTCTCTCTCTTCTTCTCCAATATCTCTTTATTCTCTCTATTTACATCTCTCTCCCTCCATTCTCTCCGATTGATCGCCGGAATATCCATTTCCGTCCGATCAAATTCCTCCATCAGCCGCCATTTAATCGCCTCTCCTATCCACCTATTCAATTTCTCCTCTCTCTACAATTCTTTATGTAGATCCGCATTTTTAATAATTAGCACATTTCAAAAAAAAATCAAGTGCTCGTAATTATAGTTGATCTCAGAAAAAAGGAAAATATGTTTTTCATTTTCATGTTTGATATACTAATAACGTAAAAATTTAGGGTTATTGTTTTTCCCATATTGATTGGAGGAGAGAAAAAGGAAGGAGTATGTTGAATAAGATTATAAAGCGAGGGCACAAGAAGGTGCCGAAATCGGACCCGTCAGATTTTGGGTCGGGTAATCGGAGCTCCGGGTCGGTTTCAACATCCAATGTAGTGGTGAACCACGCTTCTAGAGGAACCGGAACTGGCGCCGGAATGATGAACAATTCGACGCAGCAGACGGTGATGTCGTCGGCGGCGGCGGCAGTTCCAGCGCCGGGAACAATCGAGAACCTTCCATTGTTGAAGGACGTGCCAATGGCTGAACGGCAGAATTTGTTCTTAAGGAAACTTCAGGTTTGTTGCTACCAATTTGATTTCAACGATACTATGAAATTCGTTAGGGAAAAAGAGATCAAACGGCAAACCCTAGTTGAACTTGTGGATTGCATTCAGTCTGGTGCTATCAAAATCACTGAAACTAATCAAGAAGAAATGGTGAAGAAAATGATACCTCTTAATATATTCCGGTGCTTGCCTCCTGCGTCCCATGAGAATACAGGGTCGGAAAATGTGGAACCTGAAGAGGAAGAACAGTATCTCGAGCCATCTTGGCCACATTTACAGTTGGTATACGAGTTGTTATTGAGGTATATAGTTTCGTCGGATACTGATACTAAGGTGGCTAAGAGGTTTATTGATCATTCGTTCGTGTTGAAGTTATTGGATTTGTTTGAGTCGGAGGACCCGAGGGAGAGAGAGTATTTGAAAACGATACTTCATCGGATATATGGGAAGTTTATGGTGCATAGGCCGTTTATAAGGAAGGCGATTAATAATATCTTTTATAGGTTTATATATGAGACGGAGAGGCACAGTGGGATAGGTGAGCTTTTGGAGATTTTAGGGAGTATTATAAATGGTTTCGCGTTGCCAATGAAAGAGGAACATAAGCTTTTCCTTGTTCGAGCTCTCATACCGCTTCACAAGCCGAAACCGATTGCAATGTATCATCAGCAGCTGTCGTATTGTATTGTTCAGTTCGTGGAGAAGGATTACAAGTTGGCTGATACAGTCATAAGGGGTTTGTTGAAGTACTGGCCTGTCACTAATTGCCAAAAGGAAGTTCTCTTTCTTGGGGAACTCGAAGAAGTGCTGGAAGCCACGCAAGCTGCTGAATTTCAGCGCTGCATGGTTCCTCTTTTTCGACAGATTGCTCGTTGCCTTAACAGCCCGCACTTCCAGGTCAGGAGAAACTTCAAAATCATTAATTGCCACCATTTACCTGATTCCTTGGTTGTTAATTTAGTGTATGTATTTAGTAACTCTTTTATGCCTTTTTTTTTTTAATTTCCTTTATTGCTTGGTGGATATGCAGATAATTGATACCATTGTCGAATCATACTTTTGTCTGGATTCCCTACTTTTGTATACCGCTTGTGTACTGAACTTTTCTCAACATATTTTACTTTATAAGAGAAACGGTTGCTGGGTACATTTGCTTTGTAGATTATATTAACTTTAGAAAAATAGAAAATTTCTTGATTATATTTTCTGTCTTTGATTGGTAAGATAGCAAAAGGTGGTTCCTTTTCTCTCTTTTCTCATTTTCTCTTTTAGGTGCAACCTTTTTGAAGGCGAAAGGTGCAAAATATCAATGAGGTATGTTGGAGCTTTAAACGCAAAGCGCAAATAAGGCGTTGACTTTAATAAAGACGCAAATGAAGGGGAAAAAATAAAATTCGAGAACAATAATTATGACCATAAATAGCAATTATATGGACAAAGGATTTTAAAAAGTACAATTAAGTGAAATTTTTATTGTTTAGCATCATCTCTTTAAAACAACGTCTATTTGCGATGAAGTTTACGCCTTACCGCCTTGGTGACTGCAGTAAAGTGTCGACTAAGCGAGGTGAAATGCTCAGTTTGTTTTGCACCTAGCTTTAGGGCTTAAGCGCGCTTTAGACAAACCTTTGACAACAATCTTTAGGTGTGTCATTTTCAAAAGATCATCTGCCTACGTGTAATCTTGGTGAAAGAAATTGAAGAAGATGGTTCTTAGATGAAAGCTCTTGCCTGCCAAAGTTACTAACTTTTCAAGTTAGTTGCTATCTCACGCATAACTATAATATAAGCTACTTCCTTTTTTATATTTGTAGGCAATTTCTCTATTGCGAGTGTTTCTCAAGTTACTTTATGCTGTTATATGTGGAGCTTATTGCAATATTTATTGGTAGGGAGTGTCTCTTGTAACATTTTTTTTCTCTTCACCATAGTCTTATTCTCCGAGTGAGATAGATGGAATTTTGTTACCTTATCTTTTCTAGCTTCCGGTAACTATAGTCCTTGTTACATCTAGCCTTATCCTCATGCACTAAGGGGCATACAATTGACAATGCTTACTAGATAAAGGGGAGGGGGAGGGGGTCATACAATTGACAGTAGCAAGTGTATGGAAGTTTGGCTATTTTATACTTATCATAGCTATCCAAATATAGTGCTCTCACTTGACCATCATTCTCCATAGCAAGTGTACGAGCGGGATAAACGTTCCGGGCTTTTTATAGGTGCATTTGCATTAACTGACTCACCTTTTTTTTCGTTGAAAAGGTAACATATACGTTAACTGACTCACTTTGCTCCTTTTATCCTTCAGAATTTACCTTAGTTATGTGTTGACAACTTCCCGTTAGAATTTGTGAAGCTCCTAAATCTAAAAGGTGCCTTAGTCTCATCAACTCTTATGAATAGTTGAGTGCTTCGATATGTAATGGTTATCACTTAAATCCCTTGGCATCAACCTTGTTCAGAAGAGATGGAGGAAGTACTATAAATCTAGTAGAAGCAAATTCAACTTTCTTTAAAGTGGTTAGGAATTCATATTTCCTTGAGTTCTTTCGTTTACATCGTTTTATAAGAACCCACAAGGGGATATTAAATTTCCACACTTAAATGTGATTAGTGGTCCAAGTTACTGCCTTGTAATTTTTTTGATATATAAATAATATTATATTGCAGCTCTAGCTATTTACAGTGTAAAGATTAGAAAAAGCTCAACTGCTTGATCAACCTGTCTAATCCTGGAAGGAACTGAGGAACTCGATCAGATTGTGAACACCATAAATATTTTTCATTTGCACCAAAATCCTAGAGAAAATACCTTTGGATTTGAGCCCAGGGTTAAAATCTAAGTAATATGCTTTCAAAGCATCTTTTTTCCTTTTCCTTTCAAAGCATTTATTCTTATCCTTCCAGACCACCGACCAACCACGGGTAGGGATGGTGTTCCATGTCCTTCTTCTACTGTTGCTAGGCCCCTTGTCCAGCATAACAATAGCTTTGGACAGTTTTGGCATGACCCGTTTAATTCCAAGGATGCAAAAGAACTGATTCCATATTTGGGAAACAATTGGGCAATGCAGAAAGAGATCATTGGTGTCTTCTGCATCTCTTTCTCACAATAAACATCCTATCGTAGAGGTGCGCAGAGTTACCTGGTACCTATTGCTGGTGGGAGGTAGCAGGTATCCCGTGGAATTAGTCGAGGTGCGCGCAAACTTGCCGAGACTCCACGATTATAAAAAAAAGCATCTATCTTAGAGATGTTCACACCCCTTCACTGCAAATTATGCTGGGTCGAAACAACTTTCAATTGATTGACCAACGAAAATGTGCTACTTTTTATGCTACAAAACTCCTTCATATCATTTTATCATGGCCAGAAAAAGAAAGAAGTTAATGATGTAGTCAGGAACTTGTGTCAACTACGCATTAGGGACCATCTCGTTGAATCAGGTCCCTAGACGGGCCTTGAAACCTCCCATATCTTGAAAGAACCCTTTTGTAGTCGGTTCCCAAATCCTGAAACAATTAAGCTTCCTCTCCCATTCCTTAATCACTGCAGTTTTTGTCTTCTTCTTAGAGACACCTTCTATCCTTGATTTGATCTACTCTTTATTTTTGCTTCTGTATTATATTGCTTCTATATATTTTATCAAAACCAAGTACTGTCCTATTGAGAGGTCTCATTACATCACCTAGTAGATTATCATCCCCTATGATTAGACATACTATGCTTATCTCAAATTAACTATCTTGGTGTGCCTTTTAGGTTGTCCAGATAATTTATCTTACTCTCACAAATAGGAATTTATCACCACTGTAGTCATACTCTTTTCATAGCTATTGTCATAAAGGAAACATGGAACCATCTTAATGCCAACAATATTCCAATACAAAAAAGATCACTTATCGTTGTTTTTTGAGTGTGAGCACAACAGTTTTCTTAGCTTAATTCTTGTGTTTGGTCATAAGTAGATTCCTGCTTTTGACGGATATAATGCCTAACTGAAAACTGAAGACGGAGTAAGAGATTGAACTACTTATTTCCTTAGCCGTTGTAGTCAAAGCACTGAAAGCACTTCGTTGCATAGAAAGATCTTGTTTACCATCTTTACCCACAAAAGAAAAAGTCCATGGAGTTGTTGCTCTTTCACCACTTTTGGTTGGTGCAAATTCTTCATCTACTCTTGAATGTGAAGGTTCATTCTTTTAGTTGCAGGACAATATGTTGCTTGCTGTTGTCAGATATGCTAGAGACTCCAGTTACACAGAAATAGTGTGGGTATGAGTGAGATCATGAAGTTATATAGAGTTCAAAATTTAAGTTACAGAAATAAAAGCTCTGGCAAGGAAGGAGGTTGTGGAAAATTAAGTTATACTCAAATATCTATTTTATAAAGAGTTTGTTGGTAACGAAGATGATAGGTTACCTGCTAATTCGTGTTTTTTGGCGCAGAGGTTAGTAGTCTAGTAGAAACCATTTAATCTATCTTCTTTTCCATATATTGAATTATTGAACTTAGTAAGAGAGGAGACAGAAAGTAGTCTCATCAGTTTAAAGGGGACCTTTGGCTTGGTAAAAGGAGGGGAGACATTGTCTCGACGTGTATATGCAATATGAGTTTGCATTAAGCTAGTTTCGATGATCCTAAGTTTGGCCAGTGTTGGGAGTTTAGTTACCCATCTATCCATTAACTTTTACTTTCCAATTTTATAGTTTCAGTTGGTGTTATTAGCATAAATAGGTGATTCTGTATAAAAAATTCATGTAATCTAGATTGTACCATGCCAGATGATCTTCTTATCCTTTTAGATTCTACTCATGATCTCAAGTTGTCTACATATCTTGACACGCTTGGTCCTGCTATGAAAGAAAAGAATGTGCGCAACACTTATTCTCTTGGACCGCTCTTTGTTTGCTTCTGGCCTTCTCCTGAGTGGAGGGAGGTTTGGGGGGGGGGGGGTGGGGTTCTTGTATGCTATGGGATAGATAAGTTTCCCTCAACCCTTAACCAAAGATCTTGAGTTGAGCCCTGAGCCCTGGGAATGAAAACAATCCTGTTAGGGAACACTTCCCCCTTTAATGGGCCTTACGCGACATGAATCCGGATTAGTCTGGACCCCTATACCAAACACTGAGTGGGAAACCAAGAAAATGAAAAGATGGGATAGAGACTACAAATCATACAGAAAGAGTAAGTGATTTATGAAAATCATCCTAATTCAGGCCCTGTTCTTCACTAAAATGGATGAGTCAAACCCTGTTTGAAGCCCCAAGTTTCTATGTTTGTAAATCTTGCTTCTCTTATTTGGTTCAGCTTAAAGGTCAGTATAGGTGTTTGTCTGTATCCATTTTTCAGGAAAGTAAGGTTCCTTCCATAGTAAAGCCTTCACATGGTCTCCATTCATAATAGACTTAAGTGACTTTCTATAAGTTAGCAGGTATAGTGCTGCTATTTCTCATAGCTTTTGTATAATTGCAAATGGCATAGAGCTTATACTATTTAAAAGAGCTTTCAGGATGGCATAGAGACGTCACCAAGGGTTGTAGTGAGGTGGATAAAATTCCTTCACTCTTAACCATAGGTTTGATGTCAAGCCTTGGGAATGAAAATGTCCTGGTAGGGAGTGCTTCCTCCTCTAATGTGCCTTACACGGTGCAAATCTGGATTAGTTGGGGCCCATTTGGGTACCAGACACCAGGTGGAAAACCCAAAAAAAAAAAGATGGCATAGAGTTAGAGACTCCAAACATATAGAATGAGTAAGAGGGTGTTTGGCTAAACTTATAAGCTGGTCAAACTGGCTTATAAGCACCTTTTGGCTTATCTACGCGTTTGGTAAACACCCAAAGTGCTTATAAGCCAAATGCTTATAAGCGAAAATCAGCCATAAGTCATAAGCTCTGTCACCCCCAACTTATGGCTTTTCAGCTTATAAGCACTTTTAGTTTGACCAAAATTTTTACTAGTTTATCCTTAATAATATTTTCTAATTACGGGAGTTTTCTCCCTTTTGATTAATTCAATTTACCTTATCAAAAAATAATATTTTCTAATTCACAAAATACTTTTCCCAAAATAATTTTTTTGACTTTCTCTTCATTCCATATTCATTGTTAATTCTTTTCTTTACAAAGAATTTTTTAATTTATAATCTTTTGAAAAAAATCAAGGGTATTTTTGTCATTTTAACAAAAGAATAGCTTATCCGCACTTTTTAATCAAACACATGAACTGCTTATTATCAGTTTCAGCTCTTCTATCCAAACACGTAAATGCTTATTTTAAAAATCAATTTCAGCACTTAAAAAACCTTTCAGCACTTCAAGTTTATTAGCTATTTACAATCAGCTAATCCAAACGGGCTCTAAGTGATTTACAAAAATTATCCTAATTCAGGTCTTTTTCAGCACTTAAATGGATAATTCAAGCCTTGTATGAAGCCCCAAGTTTCTATGTTTGTAAATCTTGCCTCTCTTATTTGGTTCAGCTTAGGGTCAGTATAGGTGTTTGTCTGTCTGCGTTACAGTTCCTTCCAAAGTGAAGCTTTCACATGGTCTCCATTCATCATAGACTTAAGCCTGTGACTTGCTGTAAGTTAGCAGGTGTAGTGCTGCTATTTCTCATAGCTTTTGTATAATTGCAAATGTAGCAAGGATCCCATGTATGTTTTCCTATGTTTTGACCTTTTGGCCGGAGTTCATGGAGGATAATTGTTTGTAATCATTTGAAGATGTGTCATGACTCATCCAGCAGCTTGAGCGAGTACTTGTGCATTAAATTCGTGGCCCTTAAGGTCCTAGAAAGGAGTGCTATGCTCTCTATTGCATGGTGTGCATATTCACAGATAGTCTCCTAGTCGAGATCACGCTTCCAGTTATGGTACAGACAATAAAATCTTTGTTTACCAATGGCTCTACAAAAAGATTGTTTCTGATACCATTAGTTGATCTTCTGTCTTCGAAGGGAGTGACGCACATCCCTTGTCCAGAGTACCTTTTTGTTTTTTATCCTCTTATTGTGTTACTTGAGGCAGTGAGGGCATCTTGTTCTGTCGTGTGGATTCTTTTTTCTCTTTCAACAGATTAATTTGTTTTCCATAAACACATGTATCTGTATGAAATGCCATATAGGCGTACTACCATCTTCGCTGATAATAGTGTGATATATTTCTGTATGTTCTACATACACCTTATTATGCTTGAGAATACTTTTTAAATAATTATGAAGTTCACCTTAAAGTTGTAAAAAAAGAGAGAAATAAAAATAATAGCTATAGGATTGAAGTTAGTGTTTAGAGCATGGGGAGCAACTGTGATTTAAGCCTTAAGGAGTTGTGAATATTGTTAAACTAGAGTTTTAAGGCCTTGAGATGAATGGTAATGCCTCGAACACTTCTTGTTTTGTTTTTGAGTGTGTACATGGCTCTGTTTCCTGAATACCAGTTTGTTGACTTTTCTTTCCTCCGAATGCCTCTGGTTGAGAGAAACCTCTGTGGGCAGTTAGAGCTTGTATAGGCTCAGTCTGATCTTGGAACTTTATTTCAATCCCAGTCTCAGAATTTTATGTTTCTTCTTTTCCTTAGAAGTGGAACTACTAATTTTTTTTTGATAAGGTAAATTGTATTAATCAAAAGGGAGAAAACTCCCATATACAAGAAGTATACCAAAAAGTAGAGAATTTACATCAAAACATGATTCTCTACAAAAGACGCCCAATCTTCTATACAAGCAGGGGTTATATGAGTGCACCAAAAAGCGATCAAAGATAAAAGAATATTCTTAAGATGTGAAAAAGGAGATGCAATCCCCTCAAAAGCTCTCCTATTTCTCTCCCCCCAAACTATCCACATGAGAGCTAGCGGTGCGAACTTCCACGCCTTTTGCTTTCTTCTTCTACGGAAACCGGCCCAGCTATATAACATTTCTTTTACAGTGCTTGGCATCACCCAATGAACACCAAAAAGATTCAGGATTGCCCTCCACAAACCCGAGTACATGGCAATGCAACAAAAGATGATCAACTTCTTCCCCTGAGCTTTTACACATGTAGCACCAACTAACAAGTGTAATTCCTCTCTTTCGGAGATTTTCAGCAGTCAAGATCACTCCCTTGCCGCTAGCCATGCAAAAAAACACACCTTCGTGGGCACCTTAGGAATCCAGATCGAGAAGTATGGAAAATTGGCCTCTTCTCTCACCAACATACTCTGGTAAAAGGACTTTAAGGTGAACAAACAAAGTGGAGCTGCTAATAACAGATTTGACTTGTCCTTTCTTCATTTAAGCTTCGAGTATCAGCTGTCTTTTTTCATTTTTGTAAAAGTTACATTCCTAGCTCTCAGTGACTGGGAATTAGGGTTCGAATTCTAGCAGAGGCAACAGTAGGATAATTCTTTTCATTTATCTACGTTGCCTTGGTGGATAGAGTTACTAGGTACATGTGCTAGCGGGAGATATCAATGGTGTGATTAGTCGAGGTGCACCGAAGCTGGCCCGATATAAGTGCTATAAAAAGTAGTTTTAAATTCAACTAGTAGTTGTTAGAGATGGAGCTTTTCTGTGTAATAATGCCACCATTGACCATTTTGGACACCTTATATCTAATTTTATTTAAAAGCATTTGTCTGAGATTCAAGATTGCGTGATCCAGTTACCTCGAATAGTACAATTGACCCAGAAATCAGAGAGCGGATAGCAGAACCATGTGCATGTATAGGCTTGAAATTCTTTGCTGCCAATGAAATATGTGGTGATAAAGTTGTGTTTATGCTTAACAGTTTATATGCAGCATCTTTATGTTGAAAGATGTTTTTGTAGTAAGGCAGGATACAGATTGATCCCGAGGTTGTTTACTTTTTGTTTTTTTACTGAGGACCCTCAGGACTATGAAAAGGCAGTTTGAATCTCTTTGTGGTATCTCTGAAGTACATCTATGTTTCAGGTTGCAGAACGAGCCTTATTTTTATGGAATAATGAGCACATTGTGGGTCTGATTGCCCAGAATCGGAATGTCATTTTACCAATAATTTTCGAGGCTCTGGAAAAGAATATAAGGAGTCATTGGAATCAGGCCGTCCATGGGCTGACAGTAAATGTCCGTAAAATGTTCCTGGAAATGGACGCTGATCTGTTTGAGGATTGCCAAAAACAGTATGCCGAGAAAGCAGCTCGGGCCACTGAGCTGGAAAAGCAGCGAGAGTTGAGATGGCAGAGATTAGCAGCTGCTGCCTCACAAGGAGGGTAAAAGGCATGTCGATTGCCATTCCTGATCCATTAAACGCAGGATTAGACACGCCAAATTCAAAACTGGATGCATGCATCAACCTTGCTCTTCTGTTATAGTGGTATTCATTTTTCTCCTGTTTTTTGTTCTTTGAAGATGATGACAGGCAATGCAGCAGGGTGTAACTCAAGTATGTATTTGATAATCACTAGTCCTGTGCTGCAGCCCGAGAATGGTTTGTGGAAGTTTCTTGTGTAATTTGTTCTATAATTTTCCTCTTAAGAGAAATTTCTATTTTTGCAATGAACTCTCTCGAGCAAGAAGTTACATTATGATACAGTTATTTTACAGTTTTACACGTTCTACTTGGAGGCAATGGCATTGGAGACTAGTAATCTGGAGGGAGGGGGCAAAACCCAAAGAAAAAAAGTACTTCTCCAGATAATGTTTGCAATAGGAACAATTTGCTTCTTGTTCTTAAAGTTCTTGAACATATTTTTTTTCCCTTTCTAGAAAGAATTGGATTGAAGGGGAGCCTTGACTGGTAAAGTTGATGCCATGTGATTGGAAGGTCACAGGTTCGAGCCGTGGAAACAGCCTCTTGCAGAAATGCAGGGTAAGGCTGGATACGATAGACCCTTGCGATCCGATTCTTCCCCTGACCCTGCGCATAGCGGGAGCTTAGTGCACCGAGCTGCCCTGGAAAGAAGTGGATCTATTTTTCTTTCTCTTTTATCCTTCTTTCAGTAGTTTTGTTCTTGTGGGGATTTCTTTTTCTGAAGAATTAGGGGTTGTTTGGTAGGGTGTATAAGAATAATGCGGAATAAGGTGTATTAGTAATGCAGAGATTAGTAATGCATGGGTTAGTAATGCAAGCATTAGTTATGCAGATATTATTTCTTATCTACTGTTTGGTGTGGTGTATAAAAAATTATAATGCATTGCATAAATTTTAAGAGAAATAGTTGTTTGCAAAAATGCCCTCCATATTATCTTGATTTAAGGATAACTTTGTCTTTAATCATACTAATGCATGCATTAATAGCTTTGGTATTATTAATGTCATGATTTTCTATGCATTACTTATACGTAGGATAATACCAAGTATGATGTATAACTAATACAAGTATTAGCTATACACATGTTGAAAAAATGTACCAAACAAGGTATTACTAATGCGTAGAGCTAATGCTTGCATTATTTTTTCTAATACCTCCTACAAAAATGTAAACTTGTGTCTTCAATTGTGGTTAATTGGGGATAGACTTATTTCACAAAATTTGGGGGGATTTGCATCTATACCAGCTTTTTTGGTCACGTTTTAACTTATAACCGCTTTGCAAAAAAAATTGCAAGCACACCCACTTTTCGCGTAAACTTCAGGCATACGGGCCTGGAGTAGCCAAGGCGATCACGCAATCTTCAGCATTCTAGTAGACGGGCATGAAGTTGTTTGTAATTGCTGAACTTAAGCATTCTACTAGTTGAAGTTTTTGTTCTCCATTTGCTGAACTTCAGCATGTTTTAGCTGAAGTTTTTCGCGTAAACTTAGTGTTGGCCGAAGTTTTTGTTTGTAATTGCTGAACTTAAGCATTCTACTAGTTGAAGTTTTGTTCTCTATTTGCTGAACTTCAGCATGTTTTAGCTGAAGTTTTGTTCTATATTTGCTGAAGTTTAGCATGTTTTAGCTTAAGCTTTGTTATGTTTGTGATGAACTTCAGGGCTGAAGTTTGTTTTGCATTTGCTGAACTTCAGCATTCTAAGAGCTGAAGTTTTTGTTTATATTTGCTGAACTTCAGGCCTCTTTCTCCTCCTCCTTCTCCTCCTTCGTTTTCTTATTCTTCTTTCTTCTGTTGCTGCTGTTGGTGCTGCTATGAAACTTCTGTTCATAGTTTATTTTTTAAATTATCAGCACCCAGAACATCAAAGAGGTCATCTCCTGAGTGACCTTGGACACATGAATCTTCATATTTGTCATTTTTAAGTAAAGCATTCTGCTCCATGTATTCATGTTTTTCACCATTACCCTCTTGCATGTACTTGCTTGAACACGGGAGCTCATTCTGTGTTAGCATAATACCGAGTGCTTGAAACAAATCGCTTTCTACTATTCCGTTACTCTCATCCCACATAAATTGTGAACTGTGAGCATCACAAGTATGATTGGTAATCACATCGTTCCCAACATAAGACGAATCCCTATGAATTGAAGTTTCATAGCAGCACCAACAGCAGTAGAAGAAAGAAGAAGAAGAAGAAAACGAAGGAGGAGAAGGAGGAGGAGAAAGAGGGCTGAAGTTGCTTAAAAAGTGGGTACAAGTTAAAACTTTTTTAAAAAATGGGTATAAGTTAAGCAATTTTTACCAAAATATGTGGAAAAGGCCCAACTGCAAGGCGATTCATTGATGAAAATTCTGGGGCATTTGCATCTATACCCGCTTTTTGTGTCACGTTTTAACTTGTGCCCGCTTTGCCAAAAAAAATTGCAAGCGTACCCGTTTTTTCGCATAACTTCAGCATACGGGGCTGAAGTAGCAAAGGCAATCACGCAAAACTTCAGCATTCTAGTAGCCGGACCTGAAGTTCAGCTCTAGAGCTGAAGTTTTTGTTTTTGTAACCGGCGAGCTGAAGTTTTTGTTTTTGTAACTGGCGAACTTCAGCTCTAGTTTTGTTTTGTAACTGGCGAACTTCAGCTCTAGAGCTGAAGTTTTTGTTTGTTTAAAGCTGTTCTGCTTAATCCCGCGCTTTCACTGTCAACTGGAAAGATATTTCAGTAATTGATCGCAACGACGTTACTTGAACAGGATTCATTCTCTAGGCTCGTACCACCTTATCCTTGAGTTCTAAGGAGACAGGAAACTAAGTCTGGCTACCCTTTGAATTGATCGCTGAAAGTATATATGAGCCGAAGACATTGAAACAAAGTATTGCAGCATAAAAATTGAGAATAATCACTTTTTTCAACCTCCAGTTACAGTTTACTTACACTAAGCATTCCAAGCCGTCAACAGACTTGAATGTTTGAGGAGGAGAAGGAGGAGGAGAAAGGGGGCTGAAGTTGTTTAAAAAGTGGGTACAAGTTGAAAGTTTTTAAAAAAATGGGTATAGATTAAATGGGGGCGACCAAATAGGGTGTTCCGTGCAATTTTTACGAAAATTCAGCTGTAATCACATTGTTTATGTGGATTCTTTAGATTCATTTTTTTTCTATATTAAATACTCCAATTTGTCTGTTGGAGCAAATTAGGAGTTATCTAAATTTCACTGTTATTATTCAGACATACAAGTCTCTAATAAGAATTACAAGATTCATGCAAAACAACGGACACGTGTCTTAAAAACAGGAAAAGAAAACAAGATTGTATATCATACTCAGAAAATGGTAAAATTGTCTCTACGTGACTTATAGGCTACGGGTTCAAACTGTTGAAGCAACCACTAATGCTTGAATTAGGGTAAATTGTCTACGTCACATCCAAAGAGTACAGCCCTTCCCCGGTCCCTACGTGAATACGGGATGCTTTATATACCTGACCGCCCTTTTACCATTACTCAGAAAATGACTTTGCTTGATGATTTAGGCTTTTAAAAGAGTGCTAAGTTTCAACTCAAACAAAGCTGCAAACATTAAGAATTGAAATGCCCCCACAGAAAACTTTGAGGAAAGATTTGGGCAGATACATCTTTTGGATTTCTGCTTATGCACCAAAGCATTAATTATATATGCTTATCTTTGTGTTTTCTTTACAATGTGACCTCATGCATATTCAAAGTTCAAGTTTCCACATTATTTTAATGAAATAAGACAAATTCTTTATACAAACTGTATGGCATTAAGGAGTTCTATAACAGAACCTTTGGGGTACTATACCAAAACTAGTGATGCAATAAAGGGAGATAGAACTCCATTAGGTATCAAAATTGAAACTGAAATATTAAAGGGCAAAATACAAAATTAGCCGATCGGCAGAGATTAATTGCATTCGCTAGTCAAACAGCATATAAAATATGTATATTATATGAATATAATACACATATACAGTCAAATCACTCTATAACAGTTTCATTTGTTCCGATATTTTTTTGCTGCTATAGTGAAGTGATGTTATACTATAACATAACATAAAAATCGTTTTCAAGAAAAAACGGTTTTTATTGTGAATGACTATTATAAATAAAGAGTATGTTATTATTTTAGATTTAACCAATTTGATGAATTACTCCTAAAGGTTGACATCAAACTATAGGGGACGCTGTTATAGAAAGGTCTGACTGTGTACAAAAAAATATATATTTTGTCGGCTATTATTTTTGGGAGCGGCTAAAAATATAAATTTTTCAAAATAATTAAATCCTTTTTAATGACCTAATAGAATCCTCAAGAGGGTGAATGTATTTAAGCCAGTGGTGGTGTTTCCACAAACTAGTGTTATCCACCTACTTTGCCAGGTTGGATCTTCTAGTTAGTTACCACCCCCCCCACCCCCCACCCTTTTGTTATATGCAAATTACCTATTTTTGTGTACTATATAAGGAGTGTCACTTTCTCAAGTTGCTACAACCATAGCATATAATACATGGCTTTCCAATTGCAACTAATTACCATGCAAGAAGAAGAAAAACTGCGGAAAGGGCCTTGGTTCGAAGAGGAAGACGAGAGACTGGCATCTATTGTTGCCATTTTAGGTGAACGTCGTTGGGATGCGTTAGCAAAGGCTTCAGGTATATATGATTCAGCTCAGAGGCGGGTTCAGAATTTATATTTGATTGGTTCATTATTTATGTTCTTAAACCGAACTCATTGCGCATTTGCAATAGTGAGTTTAAAACTTAGTACGTATCTGTTGAAATGTAGTGATTTTTCACATATTCGTTTATGCCATGTAATATAAAAAGCACCATATTTTAACTTGTGTACAAAATTTGGTTGCATGCAGGGCTAAGGAGAAGTGGAAAAAGCTGCAGATTGAGATGGATGAACTACCTTAGACCTAATTTAAAACATGGCCATATTACTGAAGATGAAGAACGTTTAATTGTTCAACTTCAGAAACAGTTTGGAAACAAGTAATTAATCTTCCTTCTTTTATATTTCATGTTAAAGAAAAAATTAATATGTGATGTCCTTTTTCTAGTTCATATTGATTATTAATTTTAGTGTTTATGATATTACAGGTGGTCAAAGATTGCTAAAGAATTGCCGGGAAGAACTGATAATGAAATAAAGAATTATTGGCGAAGTCATTTAAGAAAGAAAGCACAGATTTATGAACAAGGTCCAATTCAAGATTCTGCTTAATTAATTATTCTTTCATTACTCTCTCTATATTCCGGAGGGAGTCTTTGGAGCAATGGTCAAGTTGTCATTATGTGACCTATAGTCACGGGTTCAAGCCGTGAAATCAGCCATTGATGCTTGCATCAGGATAGGCTGGGGAACCTTGGAGCAACGGTCAAGTTGTCTTCGTGTGACCGGTCACGAGTTCAAGCCGTGAAATCGGCCATTGATGCTTGCATCAGGGTAGGCTGAGGCGCGTTGGAGCAACAGTCAAGTTGTCTCCACGTGACCTATAGCTCACAGGTTCGAGCCGTGAAATCAGCCATTGATGCTTGCACCAGGGTAGGCTGGGAACCTTGGAGAAACGGTCAAATTGTCTCAGTGTGACCTATAGGTTACGGGTTCGAGCCGTAGAATCAGCTACTGATGCTTGCATCTGGGTAGGCTACCTGCATCACACCCCCTTGGGATGCGGCCCTTTCTCGGGCCCCGTGTGAACGCGGGATACTTTGTGCACCGGGCTGTCATTTTTTTTACTCTCTCTATATTCTCTATATATACATATCTTAACTAATAAATATTTGTTTCTATCTTACAGAATGCTCTGGAAGCAATACAAGTACTAATTCAGAATTAAAATCATCATTTGGTAAAGATGATTGTTCCTCTGCTGATTCTTTAACCGAAACGGAAGTTTCTAATTATAGCAATGATCATTCGTCAAACGAAACAACATTACCAGATTGGATACCAAGTTGGACATATGAACAAAGTCAAATGGAACATCATATGTACCTTTGTAGATTAAACATATGTTCATGTTATCCTCAGTGTTTTTCTGAAGATAATAACAATAGTATTAGTCCAAGGGATGATACTTCATCTTCTATATGGGAATAGTAGTAAAATGAAGAAAGAAAGAGTTTGAATTGTATAGACAGACAAGTGTGAATGTAATTTCTTCATTTGAAGGGGGAAAAAACTTAAGGAACAAAAATCATGTACAGTTTGTTCAATCTAATTATTCATTGAGTTTAACTTTTCTACAGCGTAAAAGAATTGTTATAGTATCATCTCACCTAAAGATATCTAAAAGTAAGTCATGATAAGTAAAACTAGTTACTCAGAAAATAACACAGGTAACCAAGAATGACAAATTAACTTATATTGATAGTGGCAAATAATTACAAGGTCGGTGAATATAAGTTAGTAAAAGGGAAAATGACACTGTACAGCCGCTCTCAAAATAATGGCTCCAAATAAATTAAATATTTTTATATATATTCATTTTTGTATGTTATATACAAAAAAATAAAAAAATATTTATACACTTTTGCAGCTACCGAATATAAATAGTTTTGACCGCGAGCTAGAAGTAATCTTTGCCCTTTGCTCAAAAAAAAAAAAAAAAAAAAATCTCTGCCCTAAGTTAAATCCTTATCCATTTTGGGCACATTATTGTCACATGCTTATTAGCTTACTTTCGTGCATTATTGTTTCTTTTGTTTACTAAATTATAGATAAAGAAGGATAAACGAATAAAAAAAAATGCAAGAGGGCATTTAAAGGGGGAAATGACAGGTGATTAATGTGCATATTCTATATTTAGAAGTAATGGACTTGGCTCTACAAGTTTGACTGATACCAAAAATGGAAAAACGGAAATTAATAAACCCCAAAAGCCGTTTTGCACTAATTGGCTGTTCATAAGCACATTTGATATTTCACATGTTTTTTAGATAATTGAGTAACTATGTATTATGATTACATTAACAACATCAACAATAATTAGCTAGTGCAGCGGGTTGTAACGATCCGGCCGGTCGTTTCATGAGTTACAGCCCTGTTTCCCTCATTTCTGCTTCTTATGTGTTGTTCAGTTGTACTTCATCATATCGTGTTGGTTGTTCTGTGTTCGGAGTGATCTTGGAGTGAAATGAGACACTTAGTCTCTAATTTTGGAGCTTAAGTTGGAAAAGTCAACCGGATGTTGACTTATATGTAGAAGGTCTCAGATGTGAATTCTGATGGTTCGGATAGCTTCGTTAGGTGATTTCGGACTTAGGAGCGTGTTTGGAATGTAATTTGGAGGTCCGTGGTAGATTTAGGCTTGAATTGGCGAAATTGGAGATTTGGAGTTTTCCGGTTGGCAGTGAAAATCTTGATATCGGGGTCGGAATGGAATTTCGGAAATTGGAGTAGGTCCGTTGTGCCAATTGTAACGTGTGTGCAAAATTTCAGGTCATTCGGATGAGGTTTGATAGGTTTTTGCATCGTTTGCGGAATTCAGAAGTTTGGAAATCCTTAGGCTTGAATCCGAGGGTGATTTGGTATTTTTATGTTATTTTAAGTGTTTCGAAGATTGAAATAAGTTTGAATGGTGATATGTGACTTGTTCGTATGTTTGGTTGAGGTCCCGAGGGCCTCGGGATGAATTTGGATGGTTGATGGATTGGTTTTTGAGGTTTGAGAGTTGATGAAATTTCTGGTGTGTTTCAGCTATCATAACCGCACCTGCGGAGTGGGAACCGCAGGTGCGGCAACGCAGAAGTGGAGGATCAGCCGCAGAAGCGGCCATAGCGGAGAGTGCAAGAGTCGCAGGTGCGAACATCGTACCACACCTGCGAGACCGCAGGAGCGAGAAGTTGACCGCAAAAGCGGGTTCTGGAATTTAAGTGAGGACCGCACTTGCGATGGATTTTCCGCAGGTGCGGCATTGCAGATGCGACTAGAGGACCGCAGATGCAGAAGTGCTGGGCAGAAAGTATATAAGTTCCCCTTCGCGAATTTCTACCATTTCTTCACCATTTTTGAACGAGTTGGAGCTTGGGAGTTGTAATTTCAAGAGGGAATCAAGTGTTTTCAGTGAGGTAAGCTACTTGGGCCTTGTATCTTGTGTTTATGGCGATTATTCCATTGTTTAATCATGATATTAGAAGTGGGAAAATTAGGGAAGAAATTGGGAGATTAGGGCTTGAACTTGGAGAGTTTAAATTGGAGATTTGACGAGCCATTTGAGGTCCAATTTTGATGATTTTGGTATGTATAGACTCGGGAGTGAAAGGAGTTTCTAGTTTTGCAATTTTTGTTGGATTCCGAGATGTGGGGCCGGGGGCCGGGTTTGAGCAAATTCGGGATTTTGGGTCTAATTTGATAATTTTCGTGTGGGTTTCATCCCTTTAGCGTGTATTGATGATACTATACTGATTTTTGTTAGATTCGGAGCATTCGGAGGCCGGAGCGAGAGGCAAGGGCATCGCGGGTTAGAGTTTTGGCTTGGTTTGAGGTAAGTAACGCTTCCAAACTTGGTTCTGAGGGTTCAAACCCCGAACTATGTGTTTCATAATTAAATATTGAGGTGACGCAAATGCTAAGTGACGGGCGTGTGGGCGTGCACCGTGAGAATTGCGGCCTGGATCATTCCATTGCACCGCTTAGTGACTCTTTCTTGCTGATACCTGTGTAGTGATTATGTGATTTAGTTAATGAGCTTTAAATCATGCTAATTATCATGTTAGGGCTTCACGCCGATACTGTTGAGACCCGAGAGGTCGTTTCTTTCTGTCATATCATTATCTTCATTGATATTCTGTACTCAGTCTTGTTCATGCATATTATGTCATGTCTCAATCTCGATATTTGTTATTTGGCACATCATGTCATTATTTCGGGATAGTTTCTCGATATTGTGAGGCCGTGTGTGTGAGACTGGAGAGTTGTGACTGAGTGAGGCCGAGAACCTGAATTTGAGTGACAGTTATAGGATTGGGCTACACGCCGCAGCAGATTATTGATTATGCCTTCATTGGCTTGTTATATCTCTTGGCTGAAAGGAGCTCCTCCGGAGTCTATACACCCACAGTAAGCGTGGATGACACTATTGAGGGATGGATTTTCCTAGACATGGACTTGTCCGAAGTACTTACTGATATTATTGAGGGATGGGTTTCCCTGGACATGGATTTGTCCGAAGTACTGATACCTGGAGATGGATTTCTCCTCAGGGTTGGATTACCCTTGTTCCTCGGTACCGGTTGACTTGAGGTCAGTGTTGTTTATATATTATGGAATGGATTTCCCTGGGCCGGATGGCCATATGTGGTACCGAGTGGTTGAGCACTTGAGAGTGGGAGCACATGATGCATTTTCATACATTTCTGGCATTGACATGTAGAGTTTTACTGAGCTTTATACTTTACATTGTTCGGATTAGCATTTTTCCTTACTGTCAAGTTTAAAATATTGAATTTCCAGCATGCCTACTTTTTTGTACAATTTAAATGTGTTATAATTGCTGAGATTTAGTTCGTCACTACCTCTCAGTCCAATGTTTGGACTTGTTACTTACTGAGTTGGTGTACTCACGTTACCCCCTGCACCTTGTGTGCAGATTCAGGTATCTCAGGCCACGGTAGCGGCTGTTCACTATTCCGGACGCATATTTCACCAGAGATAGCAAGGTAGCTGCCTGATGTTCGCAGTTCCGCCTTCTCCTTCTTTATCTTCCTTCTAGTAAACTTTGGATATTTCAGACTATTTTGGTCTAGTTGTGTTTCGGAACAAGTGTAGTATTGCTCATGACTTAGTGACACCCGAGGTCGGGCTTGTATTTTCCGCTTTTGTTTGGTTTTAACTTTATATGTTTTATGGAATATTAGTTGAAAATGGTATTATTTAAGATTTAAATGAAATGTTGAACTATTTTGAAATTGTGTCGGCTGGCCTAGTTTCACGATAGGCGCCATCACGACCGGGTCAGTTTTGGGGTCGTGGCAAGTTGGTATCAGAGCCTAGGTTACATAGGTCTCACGGGTCATGAGCAGGTTTAGTAGAGTCTCGCGGATCGGTACGGAGACGTCTGTACTTATCTTCGGGAGGCTGCAGAACCTTTAGGAAAAAACTTCACATTCTTGAATTCTTGTCATGCGAATCTGTGATTCTGGTAACTAAACTTCTGTTATTCTATTCTCTCACATATGGTGAGGACACGTGCTACAAGTCAGGACGGACGACCACCAGTTGGGGCCGCTAGAGGCCGAGGTCGCGGTCGAGGCCGTGGTAGGGGCAGGGGTGTAGCCCGCACCGCAGATAGGGCAGCACCTGCAGATCCACCAGCCGCCCCAGTTCATGATCAGGTCCCAGTTGCGGATGCTCCAGCAGGACCAGCTCAGGCACCGGCTGTGCCTATTGTTAATCCGGGCCTTCAGGAGACATTGGCTCAGATCTTGACCGTGTGCACTAGTCTTGCTCAGGCGGTCGCAGTTTCTACAGCAACAACTACTTCTCAGGCCGGGGGAGGCACTCACACTCCCGTCGCGCGTACACCCGAGCAGGTTGTTTAGGGACTGCAGACATCGAACGCACCACCAGCCCAGCCGGTTGCACCTGCTCAGGATTTTTTAGTACCAGTAATGCTTGATGACGAGCAGCATCGATTGGAGAGGTTTGGTAGACTTCAGCCTCCGACTTTCAGTGGTGCAGAGAGCGAGGATGCCCAGGGTTTCTTGGACAAGTGTCAGAGGATTCTTCGTACAACGGGTATTCTGGAGACCAGTGGGGTCGCATTTACTACTTTTCAATTTTCTGGAGCTGCCTTCACTTGGTGGGAGGCTTATGAGAGGCATAGGCCTGTCGGTGCAGCGCCCCATACCTCAGCGGCGGACCCAGAATTCTATACAAGCGGGTTCAAAACAAAAAATGATATGTATTAGTATAAATTGTGTAGGGTATGACAAGCATATAAGGTTTGATCACTTTTTTTTTTTAAAAGAAAATCTCAAGACGAAGTCATTGTAAAGTCATGCTTTATAGTTTTTAACAAATTATTTTAAAAAGATACAAAAAGTTATATGTTTTTATTTTTAGCAATTTATCTATTTAATTTAACAGTTTTATAAAATCTAGAATTTTTCTTGTTATTATTTTAGAAGTTTTTATTTCTAAACAAAAGAGAATAATAAAATTTATAAAT